ATCAAACATGCAATCAAGATGTATTGATCATTACTGGCGACTGGAATGCAAAGGTTGGAAACAAAGGAAGGATCAGTAGGTGGGAAATACGACCTTGGTGATAGAAATAATACTGAAGATTGCATGATAGAATTTTACAAGACCAATGACTTCTTCATTGCAAATACCTTTTGTAAACAGCATAAAAGATGACTATACACATGGACCTCACCTAATGGAATACACAGAAATCAAATTGACTACAACTGTGTAAAGAGACAGTGGAAAAGCTCAATATCATCAGACAAAACAAGACCAGGGGCAGACTGTGGAACAGATGCAAGTTCAGGCTGAAGTGGAGGAAAATTAAAACAAGTTTATGAGAGCCAAAATATGGCCTTGAACATATCCCACCTGAATTTTTTTTTTTTTTAATATCAGACATCTCTATTTCACTCCTATTATGCCATGAATCCATAGGGAATAGGTTCTAGCAGCTCAGGTGCCTTTCCATTGGTTCCCACAAAGTGCAGGCTGGCACTTTAGTTGAACCCAGGTACCTTTCTCTTTGGCTTCCTTCCTTTTCTGGTCATTTTCCTTCACTCACTTCAGGAAGCTATTTTAGCTCTTGGATGGTTAATATGTTCAGTGCACACATTAATTCCCTTGGCAAGAATCTTTCCTTAACTAGTTTGTTCACAACAATGCCAACAACATGCTGGGTCACTTTGTAGATGCTTCCAGTTTTGTTCTGGTAACGTGTGGGACATCCCTTTTTGAACTGTGCCCATTCCCTCGATGTCCACAATATCGACTTGCTTGTAGAATCGCATGTACGTGGCCAAAGGAACACCCCAATGCTTTCAAAAAGCCTGGAGAACATAGAATGGGTGCCCTACCTCTTTCCCTTTGTGTTCGTTATTTTTGCAGTTACCGCAAGATGGTGGTTCTGGCAGGGAAAAAAAGATGAGATGATTTCAAGATCATCTCAAGAATAGATTTGATTAAAATGAGGGGGCGATAAATGCATGAAGTGACTGGCTTACAAGTTTTTAAGAGGTAGTTTAGTTTAAGAGTGTGCAGGGGAAGGTAGAATTCCCCACTGAATAGTTTTTATCTTGTCTAGAAGGGTCTAGTGAAAGGAGACGGAGATAAGATTCTTATGATTCAATAGTGAGTAATTGTTACCATGACTAATTGCAACTGTTACAACTGTAAAGGTAGAAGTTTTGTAACAAAAATGGGGGAGTATAATCTTATAGTACAGAAACAGAGGACCCTATGACCACCAAGGGAGAAAGGCACAAGTAGAATGCAGGACCCTATCCAGAGAAGCAGCGACACCAGAGATGGAGGCAGAGATGAGGACATGGAGAGAGGAAGCAGCTGAAGACTCTGGAATCATGGAAAGAGAGGGACTGGGTGCCGGCAGCCAGGAAGCAGGCTTGCAGAATGTGCTCTTTGGTTGTTTAAATGATATATTCCTGAGTGTTTCTATGTACAGCCCCACCCCCAACCCCCAAAGAAGGAATGGAAGCAAATA